CATATAACAAGGTGAAGAAAACGACTGGACCACTTAAAGAAAGACGTTACACATATGCTGAAACATCTCGTCCTAGAGCGCAAACTCCACTTGCTCGAAATAGCGTTGTGTCGACAGTAATATTATAAATATAGTGATTTCCACAAGAAGAAGCACAGGCATAGAAATGGGTATACACGTCACACTATGAACAATTAACTGCTCAAGTGCCATTAGAATCCTGAAGAATGTAGAGATTCTGGATTTGATGTTAGTTCATTAATTCTATGGGAAATGGGCTAAGTTTAGAGTCTTCTGGCAGATAGGTACCAGTATGTTTGAGAAACCTGCTGCTTCCATTATCTCGGTTAGGAGGTGGTTGCAACAGGCTACTACAAAATATTGGCTCCTATCTACCAAACTATCAGAAATTATAACAATTATTTACATCTTAGGTTTCTCAAGTCATATTAGTTTATAAGTGATCTGTTTTCCCTGGAAAAGGGGGTTCTTCCAGTGACACAGCAATTGTGTAACTGTGTTATACTACACAGTGTAACTCACAGGAACTTACGTCAATGCCTGTGTGCTCCACTTAAGCAGATGGAAAGATTCACAAAACATATCCATGCAATGCGCCGCCAACTGCGCTTACATGCATGACATGATGACTGCTGACATGATCAATCTAAACCCTTTATGTAGAAAATTGGTGAGGGCGTTAAGAGATTTTATGAAGAGATTTCCGGCGTCGTTACCTAAATTACATACTCATATGATTACGCCTCCAAAATGGCTGAGCTTGCCTATTGTGATTACAAGGTTACATTTATAACATAGTTATGAAACTTTCATAAGGTCGCTGGAAGCAACATTTTAAATTTCCGTCATTAAGGAAACGTCGACTTTCGGATGAGAAGTAGTACTCATCGTCAAGTGCTTCTTCTCACCCACTATTTGAAACGTAAGCGCACGCACACACGCACACATTCGACGCTCTGAAGACGAGAAGAGATCTATGCCCTTGTCAAGAACCGAACACAGATTTAGCCATTGGAAACTTCAAGTATGTAATCCTTTAAACTATGTCTCCATAGCTTATCTAAACACCTTCACTTAATATATTTTCTAACTATTTCAATTAACATAATGTTAATTTATTATCGAGTAGAGTGCTACATAAAAGTACCTGCACAAATACTGACAACACAGTAATGTCAGCGTTTAAGAGACCGGAAGAAAGGACTTTGTAGTCAGCCATCTCCCTGCTATGACAATTAGCTCTTGACCTTCACACTAAGATGTCTGGACACTGCATACGAGTAGAGTATAGCACTATGTTGCTTACGTCACGATTAATGTTCCGTGAAACACGTTTAAGCTCTCTGATCGTCTATGGGCTAATCTGAGCCGGAGGCTTGTGCACGTAATTGAAAACCACACACAGGGGGGTGGGGACCCAGTTCTGTCAGTCAGTGCGTGGTCGGGGACACACAAAGTTAGTTTCGCTCAGCAACTTGAGCCCTCCTTGGTCTGTATAGTTCCCGCTACACCCCCCGAATTACTGCTGAATTTAAGGGGAGCGTGTAAAGTCCTGTCTTTAAAAAGTTGTTCTCATGCATTTGTCAATGCGATCACAACACCTGATAAAGTTATGACATGTGACCCATCTGAAGTTGGGTTTCTCTGTACCTACCGACTCGTTTTACAGCAGTTTACTAGCATACATATTTCTAAGAGATCCGGGATAGCTCAGTCGGCATAGTGACGGAGTTGAACAGTCGAGGTTCAATTCCCAGCAGAGACAAGAGATTTTTCCCTACTCTACAGCGTCCAGATCAGCTTTGGGGCCCACGCAGCCTCCCATCCAATGGACACTGGGGTTTTCCCCGGGTGTAAAACGGCAGGAGCATGAAGCTGACCAATCACTTCCATATAATACCGAGTTTAAGAATGGCGGATCTATGCGTCCATCCCCATATGCCTTATGTCATGGTGATTAATTAATTAAGCATAGTGTTAACTTTATCTCTTACATATTTTTAATGTTCTTCTAAAATAACATCCTAAAACAGTAAAAAGGTACAAAGATAAAGCTATCCCTGTAACAGGCCGTGAAGGCCCATAGGGTTGTGAGACATCGAGGCTGCCACATTTTGTATAGACAATCGGCTCACGGATAGCAGTAAGTTTGTCAGCCTTACGCGCCGGCCGCCCTTTACCCCCTTCCGCGGAAGATTCCTGGTACTCATTTCTGTTAAGGCGCGTCCACGTTACTCGTGCCCGTGCTCGCCAGGCTTGTGCTCGTCGGGAGACTCGTCTGGCTTTTACTTGTACTCGTAAATCTTCGTCCACACTACTTCAGTTACTCGCCAGGCTTCAGCGCGTGACGATCCGCATATTTACTTGTAGTGTGTATAGGCTGTAGTCGTATTTTAATTTAATAGCTATAGTTTTTAATTTAAAATTTGCTTGTCTCGTGACTTGTCATATCGTCCACATTACTCGCGAGCATAGCGAGTCACACGAGCACGAGCACGAGTAATGTGGACGCGCCTTTAGAGGCTGAGTCGACCTCAGGGCCATAGTGCGTCTGGAAGGATTAGATAAATTGAAAAAGGAAATCTACCTCATCGGAACTCGAAGCAGCGACCTTCCGGCATTTAGCATAGTGATTCAACCAATTACGCTACCGCGTGCCCTTTTAAAACGGTAAATAAAAAATACACAAAAAATTAAGGTTATGTCCGACAGACTTAAAGTAGATAGGACCTCTTTTAAGTAAGAAGTTCTTCAAAGGAAAAGTGACAGATATGTATATAGTATTAAAATTTTATGCAACAGGAAACTAGGGCTATACATTATGTGGTCAGAAATCATTGCTCTGTGTTCCTGTCAAACTACACATATCAAGGTCAACACAGTAATTTCCTGCATTCGGGATATCACTGACTGTACACACGTCAATGCATATGGCGGGGAGAGTGAATCATTGCGAAAAGCAATGTGACTATTTCTTTGCTACTGATATATTTTACACAAGACTTATGTCCGTACGACTTTCATTTAAAAGACAGGATTTTTGGGACATTTACGTTTGGGACACAGAATGCATTTGGGCACTGCACATCAATATGTGTTTGTGAAAGGTTAGACGTGACAGGTCTCGTTAATGGCGTTAGGGCGTTTCCATTTCAACTTTTTTATAATTCAAAGTTGCATATGTTCAATAATGAAGTCTCCTGTTTACGAATCACGACATAGAAATGTACTGAGGCATATCACGAACCCGTACATGTGGCACGCTATTATCACCACTTAATCGTCTATTTACCTAGCATTTCTCCGTGAAACTAAAACATTCCAAAGAGGAAAATGATACATTTAAAAGCGAGCTTACGTGACTAAACGGGGAAAGTATGTTATAATATACAGACTTATGGATCTCTCTGTAATGGAGTTAATGGAAATGCAGAGTTCGAAGCTGGAGATAAGCAGACTTAAAGACACACACGTACAGCAGTTAGCGTTTGGGAAAGCTGTGAACCAGACAAACATGCTCGTTTAATTAGAAGTAAGAAATCTGTACGTATATTTGGTTGCAGGACACAAAGTACGACAACAAAGCAATAGGCATTAAACAACTACAGGGTTCAATTCTCACAGTTACAATCAGCTTTTCATGAATACTGACAGACAATATTGTACATGGCTACAGTGACAATTCTGTGTCTGTTGCTAGTGGTAAACANCTCAACTTATCATGAATACTGACAGACAATATTGTATTTCCGAATAACTTCTACATGGCTACAGTGACAATTCTGTGTCTGTTGCTAGTGGTAAACAACCATATGGAGGCAAGGTTCCTGTCTGCAGATACTGGGCTCACCGAATACGAGAGCCATCTAGTGCGGTGCTTTGGAAATATAATCACTACACATTCTGCCGGGCAACATTCTCTTCTTGTATCTATTCCTGACGTCTGTGCTGACAAATCCAAACCAAGAAACTCAGCACAAAATTCGAGAAAGTACTGTGAAGTGCTTGGATTTCTGCTTGGTTCCATCCACGGTTACACGAAATATCCGCTTCTTGTTGCCGGGCCAATGTTTAATGGTACCTTTAAAAATATATCCTCAGCAGGAAGGGCTGATTATGTCAATGTAATTTTGGGGGAAGTTGAAGATGAGTTGGGTTTCAGTGCTTTTAAAAGTCAGTTGGCGATACTTTCGGGCCTACCCTTCTGGAATACAAGAGGAAGGTTCGTTGTTATGTTCCTGGATAGGAATTTATCAACTGTCAACACTGTTCCAGAAGAACATACATTAATCAGAAGTATCCTTGGTGAACTTTGGGAAAATGATGTAGTAAACGCTATCGTGGTGGCTCCCAACTTGCACAGAAATAAACCAACAACTCTGGATGTGCATACTTGGTTTCCTTTCGCAGAAGATCACTGCAGGGGCCCAGTTAACAGAACAGTCATACTCGATCGATGGATAACAGAGAGTGAAAGTCGGTTCGATAAAAGTATCGATCTCTTTCCTGATAAACTGTCTAATTTTCATGGCTGCGCAGTTAGTGCTAGCACGTTCGCTTACGTCCCATTCGTGTTCCCAATGAGAGAAGATGCAAACATCACACACTATACTGAAGGCCTGGAAATCAGAGTTCTTCATATGATAGCAATAGCGCTGAATTTTACAGAGAAATTCCTTCCAGAAAACGAACATAACGTCAGTAAATGGTGGGGTATGTACGAAGAAGTGTCGAACAAGAAAGCCGACGTCGGTTTCACGGCAACGCCGCAGACAGTTCGTTCCATTGGCAACAGAGATCACTCAGTGTGGTATTTGAAAGAGACAATAAGGTGGTTCGGTCCCAGAGCTAAACCAAGTGCACATTGGAAAAGTCTTATAATTATCTTCACCCCATTAATGTGGCTCTTGGTGTTAATTATATACTTCATATGTTCCTTAATATTCTGGTTACTTGCGCAGGTTAACAGTGCTGTTAAGGAGCACGTGACCTACACGGATGCACTTATGTGTTTCCTTCAGACATTCTCCATGATACTGGGAGAGGCTGTGTGTGTCAGGCCTCATACATGGTATCTGAGGTTATTCTTCATAATCTGGGTTTTCTACTGTTTGCTGATCAACACATCTTATCAGTCGTCTCTAATCAGCGTCCTGACTGATCCACGATATGACCCCATAGTTGACACAGTGCAGAAACTTCTGAATTCCGGCATGAATTATGGATTTGTGTGGAGGTTCCATTACTGGTATACTCGAACTAACGATTCGCTGTCTAAGACAATACTCAACAATTTTATCCCGTGTCCAAAACTTGACGTGTGCCTGAGAAGAATAGCGTCCAAACAAGATTTTGCTATATGTGGTGGAGAATCACATCTCTTGTATTTTTCTCAAACAAAATACAGTCCGTTAGGCATACCTAGTTTTCTCCCGTTCAGTGAAGAAGTAACATCCATACTTGTGACAATGTTCTTTCACCGTGGAAGCGTTTTCTTAGAAAGCTTTGATAGAGTCATTTATCGTGTGGTCGAATCAGGAATAACACAGAAATTCTGGACGGATATAAGGCTTCGTTACGTGGGAAATGTTGATGAAGATGCCGACAAAGGAGACGAAGGGAAAGCTGATGGGGACGACGACCCCGCCGTCGTACTGAGCGTCCAACATCTACAGAGTGCGTTCATTCTGCTCCTGTTGGGGCTCGCGTGCAGCCTATCTGTGTTCATAACAGAACTATTTTACTTCAGCTTCAGAAAGTCAAGATTTTTCCCACGTCTTAAACCTTTCGCAAATGAACGTAAAGCTAGAACTCTTGTGAAGTACAAGCGTCACATGATTCATAAAACTTACGTAAGTCGTGTCAAGAAGTGTAACGCAATACTAGTAAAATAAAAAGGCAATCTTAATGTGTGAAAGATTTGATGAGCTTACGGCCGTGACTATGAAGAATGTCGTCTTCTGGGACGTGGCGCCGTGTAGATGTTGTGTGAACCGACGTTTCGGAGGAATTTATCGCCTCCATCCTCAGGGTGGAAAAACCCGCCCGCGAGAAACCAGCGTGAGCAGATGGCTGCAGCCACTCTGGTTCTTCGCTCGTCGATTTTTCTATCCTGAAGATGGAGGTCATATATTCCTCCGAAATGTCGATTCACACATCTACACGGCGCCACATCCCAGAAGACGGTATTCTTCATTTTAAGGTATATTTCGTATTTTGGGCCTTGAGAGTTCCTTAGGTTATACCGGGTGATCCTAAATTATTGCCAGAGTTTCCGTGACATATAGACGGGAATCACCCTGTATAACAAAGCTGTTTCAACTGCAGAAATCATATAACGTCGAATTGGATGAGGTACAAGATCATGAAGATTCGGATTTCAAAGAGTCTTCATGTCCTATTTCAAGGTAACACAAATATCATCCTGGGGTGACTAAAGAAAATAACGGTAAACCTCTGACATGACAACCTGTAATCCGACTGCGATTCGAACCGAAAACCTTCCGAGTACGACCTGTCATCACTACATTACTCTGTTCGCCATTCACAGTGGCCGCGCACCCTAACGCATGAACTGTCTTCGCTCACTCGAATGCTGGGATCGTGGGTTCGAATCCCACTCGAGGCATGGATATCTGAGTTTATTCTGTGTTTGTGTTGTACTGTGCTAACGGCCTTGCGACAGGGCTGATCCCCGGTCCAAGGAGCCCTACAAGCTGTCTATTAAGAATAAGAAACTAAAGTGAAACGAATCGTTTTGCGAATGCCCTATGCTCCTAGGGAGAGCAACAGGAATAGACAGATATCACTCTGTTCAGATTAGCCTTCTTATGTGAGCTGGGACAGCTCTGTAAAGCTTTCGGCTAGGGCAAAGGTTCAATTTCAGGGAGAGGCAGAGTCCTTTCTCTTCGTCTACATGTCGAGACCGACTCTGGGGACCAATCAGCCTCCACCCCATTAGGGGGATGGGGGGTGGGGATCTAAGCTGACCGCCCATCTCAGTGGTTCAGAACACGTGACGTCTGATCCTCCTTCCCTAAGCTCACTTCTGTCACGTGCTGCCTATGCACACAGATGTCACTAGCTTACACCTCAGCACGACCCCGAGAGTTAGGACTTCCATGCACCAAGTCGTATTTCTGCATTTAGTTTCACTCCTCAACTACGCCTGATTCATCTTAACTTATATTGCTGTGGTATAAATGTAATTATTATGCGTGTTGGAAAATAAACCGGTCTCTATAAAGTACTGAAGCGAAAGAATACATTGAAACTCTTACTAACTCACTTATGGAGCTGAGCCCTTCTTGTGGAGAAGCCAAATCTGCAGCTACTCAAGAATTTCCCACCTTATGGAACCCGAAGGTTCATTACCATGTCCACAAGAGCCATCCACTGGTCCCTATCCTGAGCCAGATCAATCCAATCCATTCCATCCCATCCTATCTCTCTAAGATCAATTTTAATATTGTTCACCCACCTACGCCTTGGTCTTCCCAGTGATCTCTTTCCTTCTGGCTTTCCCACCAATATCCTATATGCATTCCTTTTCTCCCCATTCGTGCTATATGCCCTGGCCACCGCATCCTCCTTGACTTGATCATTCTAATTATACTTGGAGAAGAGTACAAGTTATGAAGCTCCTCATTATGCAGGTTTCTCCAACCTCCTGTCACTTCATCTCTCTTCGGTCCATATATTCTCAACACCCTGTTCTCAAACACCCTCAGTCTGCGTTCCTCCCACTGAAACTCTACGCAACTTAAAATTAGAAGTGGCTTTATTAAGATAAATCGTACCAATTGAATCAATAAATGAATCCTAACTCCTTATTTCCAATATTTGTGATCAGACAATTTTTATTTTGAGACGATGAGATATTAAAATTTTTGAATAATAAGTGCTGAAAAGAACAGTTTAATTACAAAAGGAAAATACGTTAATTTACTGGAGATACCCACGACTTTTCCTATGTACCTAGCATTTTTCCGATTACATTATGGAGGCTGAGCTGAATGGAATATATAACACGCATGATGGAAACAAGAAACAAGACACATTCTTCTAACCATTTTTATTTATTTCATTTCATTCCGAGAGCCAATTTAATTAAAACTGTTTTCAGTCTGGCGTATATATAACAGAACAAGAGGAATTAATTTACTTCTCAATGAAGTGTATTATCTGTTCTGTTTATTACCTTTGAGAGAAAAAACTCTGAAGAATTGTGATGTCTGTACAATCAGCTTAGATTTATGTCTGGTATCAACGGACATCAAGCCCAGTGAGATACGTTGTCTAACAAAGACTACACATAGGAAGAAGAATGCGTATATATCGACCACTCTTTTATTAATACCACAACCAAATATGAAAAAATTCACACTTCACATTAATAACGTCATAACCTCTACGCCAGTTACACATGTATGAGGCTCCAGAAGTGAACAAATAAACATATACCACTATGTACTCCATGAATAGCCTTCATTTGGTCTCGCTTATTCAAATAAGAGTCCAATATATACAAGCTTCTACAGCAAAGTACATCTAAATGCTCGGTACTTACAACAGCAACTTCATTCCATTTTATGCGAAGTCCCAAACAGAACAGTTCATTCACCACAAACCATAAACAGAGTAATTAGTAGCTCTCTGTAGCTGAGGCTGTTATTAGAAGATTGGAGCTTTTGCAACTACGAGAAACCGCCAGAGATTTTAATGTGAGCACAGACAAAACAAATGAACAATGAAGGACAGATGATCAGAGTCAGCCATGATATGTAAGTACAACTGGTCTCCAATAGGCAGCGCCAGAGCATGAATGTTTGTAAATAGTGAGGGAGATGTTACTTTTAGACTCTCATTCATTTTTGGGGGGGCTTTATATACCACAACTCCAAGAACGAACAGGGATTAGAATAAGCAGCGTGTAGGTAAATGAAATCATGAAAACGTTCCATTCAAATGAAAAGGAAAAGGACGTCTGAAGCTACAAATGCTTCAGACACCATACATTACTTGTATGCTCGTGTTTCTCTGTGCTTAGATTATAAGAGGAGAGAGCATGTTAACGTTTCAAGCATAACTAAAAGAATGTTTATGAAATAGGGTGCAAGGATAAGAATGGTACGGTATATCATGCAATTAGTATACATTTATATTATTCAGGATTTTAGGTTTTCACAACGGTGGTTATGAAGATTATTGTATTCCGGGATATAATGCCGTGTAGTCCGTTGAAAATCAACAGACGTTTCAGAGGAACATACCGCCTCCATCTTGAGGGACGATTAATCAGAGCAAGATACCCGACTTGTCACTTATTTTCACGCTGGTATCTCCGAAACGACGGCTGATGTTGAATGGACTACACTGCGTTATATCCCAGAGAGTGATCTCCATTTAAAATATTTGTTTAGCATTCACTCGACGAGTTCGGTAACACCGTTGTTCTGCCGTGGTGACGGGGGGGGGCGTGGAGGTAGCCCGCCACTGCTGCCACCACTTATTATTGGCGTAGGGGGGAGTTGATAAAAAGGCTACTAAGCGCCGCCTGCGTGGCAGGCGAGCCTACTATCCCTGTCCACTTCTAGTCCCTCACCCTTAACTGTTGTTGCATTCGGCTGCCGTCGACTGCCTGGGGCCAGTTCTAGCTTCGCTTTGGTACGATCGCTCTGGATCGGTTGTGGACGGGTTGGTTCGGGGAAGTAAATCAAAACTCCCTGTGTACATCCTACCCTAAGTACACTGATCTATTTACACTGTTATTTACAATAGAAGAATGCCGACGTCTGTCGGTTTACACTTGGTCTCGGGGGGTGATAGTTCTGACTCCGTAATAGTCTCTCGCCTGGAGCAGATGGCTCGAGACTGTCACTGTATCATTACTACTACTCGATACTGACGCTGATCATTCTGAGCCCTTATTTATTTGGATGATTATAGATGACCATGAAATTTATTTCTAATTAATTCTCGGTAATTTAAATTTCAAAAGTCTTATGATTCGATATTACTGGAAATGTATCGTTATCTATAATATCGTATTTCACCGTCTGGGACGTGCAATACGGTGTTTATGTTGAAAATTTCTAGATTCTGGCAGAAACAAGAAGTCCGGAGTTATGACATTTACGATCAGTCATAAATTTAGCTCGGGTACAGGGAACCGGACGCGCCTAAAAGGACAGGTCAGAGCTTGTTACAATTGCCTGTGAATGAGGGCCAGTATGACTGGGTTGCCTCGTTCAAGCTTCCTACGGAAGATGGGATGAAAATGTATATGTCAACACCATCTTTCGAATTCCCGGCGTGGGGGTGCAAGCCATTCCACAAAAAGAGAGACATTCACAATATTCCGAACTGAACGGACGTGACCCTTGCACGCTCCGAGACATAGCTAGCCGATAGTGTAACGCTGTAACTTAAAGCTAAGAATACATTAATTTAACAGTGTGGTGAATTAGCAGGTGAATAAACGCCAATTGGCTCAACTCTCAGAAAAACGCTTTCTTAGGCATCGCTACCCTGAGACTCATGCAAACCGACCCAGCTAGTTTCCCGTACCTATACCGATCTTCCTTAGTTTGATCTGTGAGGACAACTTCCAGTAGCCATCATACACTGTCCTAAGGTAGAAACAGGTGTAGCAGGGATAGCACCATTCCGACTGCGCTGATACAAACAAAGGCGGGTTGGAAAAGAGCGGTGTTAATACCATCTCTGTCCTACCCTAGGCACACTGGTCGATTCACCTTTAATTTGTACCCTATTTACAATATTAACAAGGCCGACCTTCAGCCGGGACTACATCATCTCTATACGTCGTCAGGCTATCGTTTCATCATAATCTCCCCTTCTGGGGTGTAAGACTATGAATCTGTCTCTCTCT